TATTTTCAGAAAAGATAAAAACTAAAAGTCGAAAGAATTATAAAATGTACCTATATTATTCGATTCACGTAATGTATCTGCCGAGTTATACGGAACGAACAAAGATCGCTATTGTCCGAACGGCTTTTCCTGGAACCGGCCCGAGGCAGTCACAAAACGAAACGGAAGTAAAATTAAAAAAATTCACTTCGAAATCGCACTGGTTCGCGGTTCTGGTTTTGTTAATTCCGAGCTTATATATATATATATAGGTACTCATATAAATATTTGATTATTTACAATGCGTTTATACCACACCTATGATATTTATGTATAGGTACTATTTCAATGCCTCTGTGTATGTATCTAAAATATCACACCTTCCAAATCGCGCACATTTTTCCACGGCGTGGTTATCTATCACTGTATTCGAGGAAACTCGTCGCCGTCCTCTTCCCGTACGTATATAATTTATAATACAAACGGGTACGAAAAAAAATTATCCTGGATACTTAGATCTGCGGCGACAACGTGCTTCACTCCACTGGTGTGCACGCGTGCGGCGTTATATACACGTTAGATACGTCTTAAGTGTACGATTATAGGTACATACAATCGTATGGTGACTACAGTACACTATAATAATATATATTATATTCCATCACGGACCACGACCACTATATTATGTCGTATTATATACCTATATTACCTATATATACCAGATATACCTATAATACCTATATTTATGTACCGATATCATATGCGGCGCGTTTAACTTCTGCGAAAGTCTAATAACGTCGGACGCCACTGACGGCGCGGCACGTTCCCGTCGACGAAATCGTGTATATATTTATATACCACGGTCATGTCCGCATCGGTATACCTATATAATATTATTATATTATATACTTACAAATTCATCGTCCGTCTCGCGTTCACGATATGTCGTTTATATATAAATGTATAATACATATATATATATATATATTAAGACGACGACGACGACAATAATAATAATAATAATAATAATAATAATAACACAAACGCTCGCACGCACGCGCACTCCGCGTGGACGAGACGACGCGAGTCCGGCGGCTGCGGTGGTGGTCATTACGTTTGCCACGCACGCCCCGTAATTGCCTCGCGAGTATCGCGGCGCTAATGGCGCCATGTGCCGCGCGCGTCGACTCGCAACAGCGGCGACGCGACCAGAAAGACGACTATCTCTCGGTGGCGTGACGTGACGTGACCGGCGGAAAGGGGGACATCGGTTTTAACGCTTTAAATCTTTGGACGCGAATCGTACAGATTTTTTTCACTTCTTATTCTCACCGCGCACGGAGCATAATATACCCAACTACCTATTATATGTGTGTGTGTGCTATTATTATTGCGACTTGACGCTCCGGAGATTTATATATTTTGTATTATGTGCGGATCGTATAGGTATGCATTGTACACAGTGTTTTTTTTTTCATGTAGGTACCGTACGAGAGTATGCGTAGGTAGGTATATATACTGCAGCACTCTTATCGAATCTATAATAATATATTATATAGGTATGTGTGTACCTACGTTTTGTCAGTGCTGTCCGGTTTTGACTTGAGGTATACGTAGATATATATATAATATTCAGCTCCTATATCGGAGGACGTTTTGATTGTCACTACAACGGCGCAGTGTATGTTAAAAGTTTTTTTATTATTTACTACATTCGAAATATTTTTGATAATATTATATAAGGTATACATATAGGCATAGGTATAGCATATAGATATACCGCTGCTATACGTCATGTAAACGCGAACAGCCGATTATCGATTTCCAATCCAGAAATCTCGTATGAGATACTCGAGTGTGTATGGATTTCAGGGCAGAATATATGTTTTCCCTCTCTGACCCGCAAGTGCAACATACCAAATTTCGTTTAGCAGAACCAATACCTATTGTGTTGTTTACTTAAATATATTGGAAAGAATATTGACCTATTATCAAAATTTAAACTTAAGACATTATCTTTATTTGCATAGATACCTATAGTATACGTGTATTACATGTGACTTTTTAACGATAAATTAAAATTTTTGCGGAAGTAATGAGTATACAAAATTTAACAGTTTAAAAATGCTCATGATTTGTTTTAAAATATCAAAAATATATGGGGCCCTTAAATTATTTTTAACATAACTGAGTAAAATTGATTATTCTGAACGTGTAGTTTGTTAAGTTAGTAAGACGGAGTCGACGCATTGTGGACACAACAAGATGTTCTCTTAAGAGATTATGGTTAGATAATTTTAACTATATATTAGGACAAAACAATACACCAGATTGAAATTTGGTTAAATTTAACTTATTAGTAGAAATGTGTATGTACCTATGCATTCATCATTCTTCAACAATTGTATACATTGTACACAGATCAGTTACAGGCAAATTAATTATAAAAATTAAGAACATTTTTAAAAAGCTATAAGGTATAGTGAGGAGGGGACGACTGCCACCTTTAAGTATAATTTTATGTTGTTTTTGTGCTTGTGGACATACATGCCCCCTGTTTAAACCCTAATATAGGTATATACACCTAAGTGTGGTTTCAATACCTACTTAAAAGAAAATATGATGTGATTATTAACTTTTAAAATAAATACATCACAGTACCTGTAAACTCTATTAATTGACTATCAGATTTGTAACAAATTTAAATAAACCGAACTTCTAGCTCAGACCTTTAATAATCTCTATAATCCAGTAAAAAGTTATCCAAAATAATATTTCAAAAATGTTTGTTAGAAAAAATGTAATGATAGGCACAAACACGGTTGACTTATACATAGTTACAAGAAGTTTATAGTGCCAACACTTGAACGAAGGGATTGCTCGCGCGACACCTAACGGAGACTTTATACAACATCAACGGCTGTTACGCGTCCCTGATGACAGAGGTCGTTTCGGTCTCCAACCGCCCTTAATAATTTTCGTTTTTATTCACCACCAACACCCCCTAACGGATCAACCCTCAAACAAGGGTTGCGCAAGTGGTATTTTTATTATTCTAAGAACGATGCCATCAGTTTCAGATCATTTTTTTTTTCCAAACACGTTTTATTTTATCTACTACTGCCGTTTTCAAACAAGTTAACTTAACGTCTTTTAGGAATCCGGTACGTTTTGTCCGGTTTTTTCCCTGTTTACTCTTTAAGAAAAAAAAACAAGTACAGGTAGGTACGTGTCTTAATAATATATAACATTATAATAGCTATACTGCAATTATCTGTTCGCAGTTTTTCTACATTCCAAGATAGAATTAAAAGAACGAAATACTTAGAATAAAATTAGCTAAACAACTTTACCTTTAATATATAGTTATCGAATACTTTATGAATTGAATAAAATTAAACTTTATGTTTTAATTGTCATAAAAACTTTTATAATAAAATGTATCAGTGCTACCTATTTATTCTATAACAGTTAATAATAATATGATGAATAATAGTAATCATGCAAATTGCTTTAAGATTTCACTTTTACTTGCTCTTAAATAAGTCCAAGTATTATATTTTTTATTTCATGATTATTTATTGTTGTTGCATTTCCGGGCTTTCAGTGATTGGATATTTTTCAATATTTTGACGGACAATTAGTTACGGACTACCCAGGTTATTAAAAACGTTTGATCTTAAACACTTCATACCTATTATGATTTATTCATTAGTATATAATATGTGTATATATAATATACTGTCGATAACAATACATATATTTTAAAACTGAGTATTTTAGAATATCGATTTGTCGATCCAAATAGAATAAAATATTCTGATTGCGATCTATCATCGCATTGGATGTCTTCCGTCCGAAAGAGTATAGAATATATTATAGGTACAATAATAAACAAATATTAAAATAATTTTAAAACGATATACCTTCACTACTTCCGCTTGCCAATAGTATGAGTGTGCACAATACTAAACTGTAGCGCAGTGTTTGCATTCAGTCGCGAAACGCGTTCTAAGTGTAAGCACCGGTCGGTGTCACTAGTTTCCGGATGGGTGACCACCTGGATTTTTAGTGACAAATTCTTGCCACACACACACGCGTGTCCAAACCGAACACACCTCTCCACACAGTAGCAAGCTAATGACCTCAAATAATATTAAATTACTATTTTCATAACGGTAATAATATTCTAACACACGCGGAGCAGCGTGCATGTAGAACACGAAGGGAGCTTCAGTACCTGCGTTTGTTCTAGGCGAAAAAAATAAAACTTCGGCCTAGAAAATGTGTTTCACATAATAATACACGACATATGGGCACATGACAACAACGACGACAACGACGACGACGATGACAACGACACAACGCTTACCTGACATAAAATACACTATTATTATTATTATTATTATTATTATTATTATTATATCATGTTATAGGTACGGGATACAACTGCGACCCATATTTTAAAAGCAATAAAAATCACGTCGAACATTGTAAATCGGCGGCGGCAGACGGCAGTAAATCGAACGGACGGTCGGCCGGACAAACGCCGCCGCGCCGCAGTCTTGTTCCGCTTGTCCGCTGTACCTACAGGTCGTAAATATCGTCGGGAGGCGGCGGCTCTTCGGTTTTTATCGTTATTTAAATGAGGCCAGAGCACACACGACGGACCGTCGTCGTCGGTGCACGTTAAATTGTTGTACTCTCGCGCGTGTCCGAGTGCGTCGACGGGGTGCGGGCGAGCGGTTATTATTAATATTAATATTATTATTATTATTATAATTATTATTAGTAAAATAATATTATGTATTGTATGGTGGGCATCGGGCGCGATTGTTTACAGTTTACCTCCGCCGCCTCGTCGTCACATTATTACTATTTAACTATTATCATCATCGTCGTCGTATCGCGGGCGTGATTGTACTAAATTATTTTTTTAATCGCTGGGAAAAAAGTCCGCTAGACCTACGCGCACGGCATCTACCGCACATTCCGCCGGGGCCCCGGTTCGAGGCGCGCGGATGAGGCGCTATCTGACGGCCAACATGCGCGTGCCGGTCGCGGTGTCTAAAATTCGAGATTTCGCCAGTCCGCCCACGCACGCACCCTGCACACCAACGACGGAAGTCTCTCGGCAACGGTCGTGCACGCTGCTTGTCGCGGACAACGCAAATGATAATTGTTTAGGTGTTGACCTACCTAGCCCATCTACGGATATAAGACTGTTGATGATTTCTTGGTCTGTAGACTTTATAGGAATGGAATAATAAATATTATTAAGTTCATAATAATACACCTAACCTTAGCGTTTCAAGTGTGACATTTTTAAAATTGTTTATAAACGATCCGATTAATGTAAAACGATTTAACGTTATCAAGTAGAATTTTTTTCTATATTAGTTTTTCAAATAAGGACTTAGGATTTTTTATTACTGAGTTGACACTATTTGACTTTGATGTATCTAAATCAAATTTCGAACGTGTAGTTTGTGGGTTATATAACCTATTATGTACATATATTAGTATCTGTACAATAAGTTTAAAAGTTTTTTATTTATTTAAAATTTAATTCACTATAAAAACCATCGATAGTTATGCAAATAAGTATCACCATTAAATATTTAGTAGTGCAAATAAAAGGTTAGTATATAATTTATATATAGTATATCTATATCTATATTGTACTACATGCGTTAATATTTACCTATACGGCTATACATATTATGGCACATGAGCGATTTTGTACAATAAATACAGCAATTATATTATTAAATTAATATTTGCGATTTCTTAGAATCAACTGTTTATTACTAAATGAAAGCGGATCATATAATTTCAGTTATAAAATATGAAATTTTTAAAATTAAAATTAAATTCTACAATAACCACCAAAAATATGTATTTAAGATATATATTGTCTCCAAATATAATCCATATAAATATTATAATAAATATTTGTAATGTACCTACTCTCCTTCTAGGGCTATCGATTTGTTTACAGACTAAAATATTAAAAAAAATAAATCAAAATTTAAGTTTTCATTAGATAAGCAATGCTCAAAAATATAGGTAGTATATTTTTCTGTAGGTATTAAAATTCAATATTTAAAATCCATGTATAATTAATGTAAATACCTTAATATATTTTTTCTAGGACTATGTTTTTTAAATCTAATTTTGAAAACCCTAACGACTCAGTTTCAAAGGCTTATAAATTCGTATAAAGTTAGTGTTAGTATAAATAATTATACTTATTATACAATGTATTATAAGTATAAAAATTACTTTTTAATTAAAAAGAAATACACGTTGTCCATATAGGTACTATAGATCCCATAAAGATAATAATTGTATTGTTTTCCATAGACAAGTACTTAGAATATTTGCTTGAAAAAATACTCACTTTCCATTTAGTGATACTTACGTCAACAGAAACCACTTGATATTATTATTTAAAAATAAATTATAAAAAAAGGCATCGTTAGGATAAGCCATCGTTGATTGCCACGATTAGAAACACAATCATACGAGTACAATACAAATAATATTATATACCTAGGTACATATATTATTACATTTTTTCTGTAATTTGTATATTATATCATATATTTTGTTATCGAATTTTTGATGACACTAGTTCATGAGCTCCCACAAGGGGGGCTTAAGGGGCCATTGTCCCCATGAGAATTTATAACTGCATGTACTTTACCATTAATATCACTATTTAGATTATAAATAATTCTTGTCTTGCCCTGGGTGGGATTTTATCCTGCGAGGGCTATTGCACTAGTTTGTAGTTACCGCCGTTTACCGGTTATGTACCTATAGCAGATGTTTGAAACACCTATTACTATATTATGTGGTACCTATTGCAGACCAGTATTATTACACTTCAGTTTTTAAATAGGTACAAATTTTCTAATGATATAGTTTTGATAAATTTGTTATATTAATACTTGGTAATAACTAAATACTAGCACCACAGACTGTGTTACCCATGACTGGAAAAACAATAAAATAATTGGTATACACAACATTTTGAAGACATACCTAAATTATTGTAAAAAATTACACCGCGCTAGAACCGAAACACGTTATAAGGACCAGTTTAATTTGAAACAGCCGATGAAAGAGCTGTAAGTTTGTCACATGTTTTCGTATATAATAATCTATACAAGAAAAATATTTCTATGTAGACCATCGTATCGTCGGGCACTTAGGCAGAGTTATCATGGAATGCGTGTATACTATATTACTACTGACCGCTGCAGTATTCGGATTCACGGGTATTATAAGAATAAAATATAACAATCGGTAAAAAAAACTAACATGAAAACGAACTCTTTTACAACGTGTTTATAGGACGTCTAATCTAGGTGGGTATTATGTAGGTATACATATAATAATATATTGAACCATTTATTCGTTTCCAGAAAAAGCGATAACGTTAGATATAATGCGTATACACATCTTCGTATACAGTAGTTCAAGCAGAGTTCAAGCGCTCTATCGGCCACACGTGAATATGAGGACGATCAGCCATTAGGACGATGGTATTTAATCTTCGGTTTTAATGACGATAATATAATAATAATGATAGAAAAAAAGAAACAGTTTTTTTGACATGAAATAATCACAAGTACACCTATATGAGTACCAGCTGCACAGACGGCGATTTAGTATTTTTCCCGAACTGTATAGTTTTGTCACCGTAAACGCCTATAATATTATGGTATATGTTTGTTCACTGAAACTACCTCAAGGTCTTTGTCTCAATGCCCATCACAAGTGGGTAGTAGGGAGATCATGTGATCTATTTACCTATATGTTATGTATAATATATAGGTGGAGTCGTATGCATAAACCGCGAAATCGTTCGCGACGTCCGAAAATCGACACGATTCGTATAGGTACCGACTATAATGCATAATACGGGTTTTACATATTATTATTATTCGGATAATATTATGAATACAATTTCAAAATATAAGATGCGTTCATACGTGTAGCAATGGCATATATATAATGCGTTTGCTCGAGCGTGCTGCGGTGTGCATGGGAGAGTTAAGTCTGCATGTCAACGTCTGCTGACACTCGAACCTCCTATTTCATTATGGCTGGCCAACATGGCTGTGTGTGTACTCGGCGAGGTCCCGACGCAGCGGCGGCGGCGGAGGAGGAACGGCAGCAGCTGTCGGTTTGCCCGAAAATTACGAGGCCGCGTTCACACGTACTCGCGCGACCGGGTTTGACAAACGATATTATTATTATTATTATTATTACTATTATGGCAGTACAGTTATAATAAGCGAATACCGCCGCCGTGACCTTAATCCGGTGTAGTATATATATATAATATAGTGGTATAATAATATATAAATTATATTATGACTACGTGTTGTGATATTATTTTATAAATTTTGTTGTACGTTACCCTCGATCATCGATATAAGTAGGAAGTATGATTGTTTTGATAAACTGACTCGCGGCTTCAAATACGGACGAGACGCGAGAGACATAACTCGATACTATAATATAGACGTATATCAGTAGACTGCGTGTACTGCAGCTGACTGCCGAGTGTAGTAGGTATAATAATATAATAAACTTCGAATTTCAGAAATCATCCATCACCGACGCGTCCTTATTAAGATATGCGTGTACAGACCAATCTCAAACGGTTGGATAACATAAAACGTTACATAATTCAAATTCAAGATAACGGAGAGTCGGAGAACCATTATTCACTATCGAACACGAGCACGTCGTATACATTTTTCGAATTACTACGAGATAATATATTATTACGTATATGAATAATAGTGACCTATAATATAGTTACATTTTAAATAGAAAACAAGTATACAAAATGGTGCTAAATAATATGCTCACAGCATACATCCAATATTCTACAATATATAATAAATAAGTAAAGAAACAGGTGATATAATACATGCAGCTATGCAGGTATTATTAGTAATTTTATAATAATATGAGTTACAGTGAGCTATATTATCGAGCAAAAAACGTCGATTAAAAGATATGATATGCCTAAAAGGTATAAGAATAAAAATATAATTTCGCATATAGAATGCGCAGCATGAGTGTTGATTATTATTGCATAAGTCTACGAGAGAGAGAGAGAGAGAGAGAGAGAGAGTGAGAGAGGGATAGGTGATATGACGGGGGGGGGGGGGGGGGCAGAATAGTAGGTACCACGGCAAATAATAGGTGTCGTCGTCGGGTTGAAGAGAATACAATTTTTTTTTTTGAAAAATTCATCTGTGGCATTGGCGGCTAAACCGCTCCAATTAACATGAGAATTTGTATTACATGACGGAGAGAGGAAAAGAGACGGAAAATTACAGGCTGCAAAGAGTTCGGAATGGAATCGCAATAATTCTCATTGTTTCGAAAATATAATATAATGTAACCGTCCTCCGACCTAAGCCCCTCCAACAACACTTCCAACATCCATCGGTGTGGCATGCAACAATTGCGGTCTGGACACGTCGTAGTCGGCGGCGGCAGAGGCAGAATGCTAATTTCGAGCCGCCGCCGCCGCATAGGATAGAAATCTCTGTCGTCATCGCCTCCGCCGCCGCCGTCGAATACAAATTTAGCGCGCGTTAAATATTACTTATTACTTATTACTCGTTCTACATAATATTAACATAACATATTATACTATATTGTAATATTATCGATTACATTACACCCCTCGCGATAATCGCATATTATATACATAATAATATTAATTATTATAATATAATCAAATATATATTTTATTATACTATATACGTTTTTCGGAATGTATATAATTATAACTTTTACTCCCACTCCATACCGTTTTCTAATATCCGTGTTGACGTTTTCGAGGTCTTAATAATACATATTATTATATCTACTGATGCAGTAGGTTGTAAAGTTGTAGGTAGGTACACACAATAAATAAACAGCGTTTTTCGCATTTATGCGTCAAACCGACGAAAATATAACAACACACTACAACAGACGTTGTGTACACAACATCGAAACGCGTGAAGATCACCACTGCTGCATTATTCTAGGTGCCTTCATATTATGATAATATATTCGAGTGTGTGTGTGTGTGTGTGCACAGTGGTCATCGGTCGAACGGAATTTATAAAACCACGTTATTTTCGTACGAGACACCGAGCGATAAATTTCGCGAAATTTGTATAAAAATACGACACGAAAAACAATTTCACGTTTAGAATTTATCGCTCCGCGAGTAATAAATAAA